TTTTACTTGCGTGCACTGGTACCAAAGGTACCTTTATTTCTTCTTCTATATTCATAGTTGTATTATTTTCATTTTGTGTGTTGCTAGCTGTAGAAATAAAATTCATATTTTTCTCATTTTCTTGGTTGTTGTTATCACCTTGTTGACCAGAAACACTTCTGGTATTGTATTTATGTTTTTCCTTACCCATACGAGTAAAAAGATAGAAAAATAACTAAGTTTTATACGTAACTACAGTGAAAAATTGTATTTCACTACTGTGGGAATATTTGGTACAAGTGATTGATGGGAAGAGTTCCTTAATCCACAAGCATCAGATATTTAGTGTTGGAATTATTATGTGGCCAACCTTTAATGCAACATAGTTTAGCAATTCATTCAAAATATGATATAAATAATTATATAGGTAAGATTAATTTAGATGATTAAATAAATTTATATTGTTTGAGTTACATTAATTATATTTAAAAATCCCATATTTTAGTTAAATCATTAAATAACTGTATTTTTTTTTTGGAAGTTAATTGGTTGCTTTTATTTATTAAACTAAAGTTATAAGATTATATACAGTACATGTACAAATAATATAATTTTTTCTATATTATTAAAAATAGTTATATTTTGTTTTAAATTATTATTATTGATGATTATAATCAGTCTAAAGTCAATCTAGCAATTTATTAATCTATTATTTAAAGCTAGTTATTATGTATAATTAATATAGTACTTGATACCAACAGCTAAATATAAAATACCAATCATTTGTTAATAGTTAATGATAAATGAATCTTTGTGTATTTTTAAAATTGCATTTAGGATAATTTCTACTCTACTAGGATCCACGTTTTAGACGTTATTTGCGAAGATTAAGTTCTAATTATTTACTTTAGATAATGATTGTTTTATGATTATGAAAAATCTATAAGAACTAACGATAATTATGAAGTATTTAAGATTGGTAGAAATCTTAATGAGAATACACATTTTTATTAAACATTTATTTTTAGTATTAAGTACAATACAAGAGAAAAAAAATTCAATACTGTAGAATAATGTAATTAATTATATGTATTATCTATACTATATAAATAAATAAATAATAATTTCTTTAAGTGTCCAAGGTAGGAAATTTTTTGTAGTTTTCTTATTAAAACAAATTAAAATGCATCAAAATATATATAACATGATATAGATTGTTTGAGGTTTTCGTCTGCGGGATTTGAAAACGGTTGAATTGTTTATTATTATTTTTTTTGTTTAAAGGATTTTCCATGAAGGGTGAACAGCTTTCTCTTTTATGGAGGTTCGATGATCTTTTTATCCGAAATATAGTTCGAAGGTAAATTATATTTACATTAATTTTAAAAGCTCACAACTTCTATTTTGTGATGCAAAGATTAATTACCTTCATCAGTCATTTTCTGAATTATACTATTAAAAGAAGTTAAAATCAATCATTCAAAATATTTATTCATTTATACTTTTTTTTTTATAAATGACAAAATACGAAAAATTTAGTATAGTCAGTAGTGTGTACTCGGAAATTGAGACTTGAACACATTACTAATACCAAAAAAAAAGTTCATTAATTCTTTTCTAATTAATAATCTTTTCTGTAATGTATGTAAAATATTTAATTACGATTGGAATAAGCAAACTATTACTAATTCCCAAATAACTAATACTAAAAATGTGTTCATCGCGATTTAATTTATTTTGCTACTCAATCGTCGCATCTATTCAATGCTTTTTTTTTTATAAAATAATAAAATTCTGAGTTTTATCCTGCAACGCCTTCCTAGATGAATATTTTCCTTAAAATTGGCGGACATCTGCATAAAACTTTTCTAACCACATCTTTTCATTGGCTATTTCCCAATCATTTGCATCCTTGAAAGATGTAACAATTTGATTCAGTTCTCCATCCAATCTATTTGTTAACTCTGACAACGATATTTTCTCTCCATACTTGAAAATTCCAATATTTGACTCATAATTCAATGTAGTCGTCAATATGTTTTTGGATTGAAGTTGTAATAAAGTTGTAAGGCTATAATCAATAAGATTGAAATGTTCTTTTCTATGAATAATATTTCGAATGACCACTTCCCTATGCATGTAACCGCGGTTGTGGATTTTCTCCAAGTACAGCATTAAAGAATTATTTGAAAAAGGGTGTCATCATCTATACCATCATTATCAGAAATCCAAGCTTCCATTGGTTGTCCTACAAAGTCAGTTATTATTGCCCAAGAATTCCACATTGTATGGCCTTCAAAGAGAATTTTAGGAACACAAGAGAAATCACATAATGATCGCAGTGCTGATAAATTTGTGAAAATTCGGAGTTTTTTCGAACCTCAATCTGGACAAAAAATTAATTAATCAATATAGATAAATTTAATATACGTAGTAAGATACATTTCAGAAATAAGTATACCTTTAAAACTGCTTCCTTTATTCCTTAATCACGTTTGAACCAGAAAAACAATACTGTCTTTTCCAGTTCCAAGATGAGATTTAACTTACATATTGATAAAATTACCAGAATTTAATATAATACGGAATCCTTCTTTGATAAAAGAGGCCAAGAGGTTTTCAGGAGAAAATTTGTATTAATGACATTACGACTTTCTTGAATCTTTATAATTGAATCTTCATTATTTGGAAATTCCTTTTTTTCACCAGATGTTTTTTAGTAAGCATTGAATATAACATTGATTGATTAAGCCGGCAATGAATGAATCCGTATTAGCATTCCATTCATACAGATCACTTTCTTCGAACATTATTTTGTCTTCAACATCATTTACAAACGAAATTCTCATAAATTGCCAATGGCTCACATCAGTGTGTAGATTTTTCACATCTAAACTTTTTTTCTTCTTTTTAGACTTATATAAGAATTTTCCTAACAATTTACTTCACTTTGATCATTCATGGCCGGTTTAATAACTGATAACCGAAAAAAAATAGTCATACATAAAATACACTGACAACAAATGAAATGAGTTAGCGGGCTGGAGAGCTATTATATTTTTATTCATAGCTTGCAGTAGTGAAAAACAAAAAAACATTGTACTGAATGGTGATTCCTATATTATAGACCAGCTAAAATCAATTGTCCTATTTTACCTATATATTATAAATCAAAATTCCTATTTGTATCACCTATTCTTTGTATTTGACATGTATTGGTTTTAGTGAAATAAAATTAATTTCTGAATCATTATCTATTATTGTTTTAATTTCTTGTGTTTTGTGCATGATTAAATATTATAAATTAGAATTTATTATATCATAAAGATACAAAATTATTTATAATCGATTAATAAAAATATCTAACATATTCCATGGCTAAAAATATTGAATAGATTCAAGAATTATGTGAATTTCTGAAATCAAAAATTATAAATAATAACAATACCAAATCAGTAACAACAGAAGAATCTCAAAAAAAATAGCAGATAAGTCAGAGATGAGACATAGTCTTGAGGCTTTATCTCTTCAAAAGTCCATTGAAAACATCATTCTGACATTGCTAATCAACTGCGAAATGCAAAAATTTTTATTATTCTTTATAAATTACTAAAGATAGTAAAACCAGATGTCCGAATGGATATATTAGGTTCGATATCAGATGTTTTTTCATAAGTAATTAAATTTTTATATATCTCGGACACTAATCTATACTTATTAATATTGACTCTGCTAATTGTTTTTAAATTCTCTAAATTCCCCACCAATTCGCATCATTCCATTTGCTTATTGTTTGTTTAATAATCTGGAATAGAAAAAATTACGTTCATTAGGGGTACCAGAAATCTGCTGTTTCTCTTTACTATAAGACCTACCCCACCCCTCCCAATAATTAATAATCAATTTCTGTTATAAATTTCCAGAATTTTTCAAAAATTTACGGCATAAATTTTTCACAGATGTTCAAATTTAAACATAAATGACTCTGCAAATATCAATGCTACTGAAATGAAGCGCATATTATTTTGTAGCCAAGAACAAAGCCTTTCTTTCTCTATTTAAAAATCACATTTTTTACATTTTTTTGACTCGCTCGTGATTTGTGAAGTGTAGAGCGATTTTCTACTAAGATCTTCTGATGTAGAAAGAAAGGCCTTGTTCTTGGCTACAAAACCTTATGTATTCCGTCCAGGTATAATCGATATTCGCAGATTTATTTTCGTTTAAATTCGAACGTCTGTGAAAAATTTTTGCCATAAATTTTCTGTAATTCTGGCCAGAATTATGAAAAATTCCGAAAATTTATGACAAAAAGTTTTCATGGACATTCGAATTTAAACACGAATATCTACGCGAATATCAATGCTACAGAAATAAATTCATATTATCTTGTAGCCAAAACTAGGGCTTTCGATATGTCATAAAAATATCTTAGTAGAAAATCGTTACCTGTCGCGTTAATCGTGGGCGAATCAAAAAAGAATAGAATTTTCGTGCGTAATCTTCATAAAGTCCCGTGATTTTGCGTAAATAATACTGTATATATATATGAACTGTCCCTTTAAATCAGCTGATTTCTAGCACATATTCTAGGTGACTAATATAGGTGACAAATATGGTTTCGCATGTAAAAAAAAAATCCAGGATATTTAATAAAAATCGATATTCGAAAGGTGTGATGAATGGTGATAAATACACTGCCCCTGAAAACCCTAACCCTAACGCATGTTATTTAACATAACGACATATGATAAGAATCTAAACCCCTCTTTCTGATATAATGCAACAAATTATATACATTAATTCACCCAAGGACCTTATGGAAGTGTTCGAATTCCATCAAGTAAAATCCATCAAAAGGGTTTAATTCAATTTTGTTTACTTTTTCTATATAGATAATAGTCATAACTACAAAGGCCATACATATCATGTCTAGTTAGGGTGTGTCATAAATCAGCTGATTACTCTTTACTATAAGCCTGATAATTAAAATTCATCAGTAAATTTAATAACAGAAAGCAATGATCAATCAGCGGAGGATTTTCGCATTTTTTTATCATTTTTTCAACTTCACGAAGCGTAGAGCGATTTTCTACTAAAATAGTTACAAAATAATATGTGTTTCATCCACATAGATTAATATTCGCGGGGTTATTCACGTTTAAAGCCGAACGTCCATGAAAAATTTCTGTTATAAATTTCCCGGAATTTTTCATAATCCTGGCCAGAATTACAGAAATTTGTGGCGTAAATTTTTCACAGACGTTCGAATTTAAGCGCAAATAACTCCGCGAATATCGATGCTACCGTGATTAAACGCATAATTTTGTAGTCAAGAAGAAGGCCTTTCTTTCTATCTTAGAAATATCTTGGTAGAAAATCGTTATACGCTTCGCAAATCGCGAGTGAAGTTTAAAAAGTAAAAAATTATATTTTTCACATTTTTTTTTTTTACGTTTTTTCGACTTCGCTCGTAATTTATGAAACATAAAGCGATCTTCTAGCAAGGTATTTCTAAGATAGAAAGAAAGGCCTTCTTCTTGGCTACAGAAAAATATGTATTTTATTACGATATAGTTGATATTCGCGGAGTTATTTGTGTTTAAATTCAAACGTCTGTGAAAAATTTCTGGCCAGAATTATGAAAAATTTATAACAGAAATTTTCCATGGACGTTCGGATTTTAACACGAATATCGATACTACAGAAATGAATACATATTTCTTGTAGCCAAAAACTAGAGCTTTCGATCTGTCATAAAAATATCTTAGTAGAAAATCGCTACCTGTCGCGTAAATCGTGGGAGAATTCAAAAAAAATAGAATTTTTTGTGCATAATCTTCAGTAGGTTACGTGATTTTGCGTGATATAATATGATAATATATATAGATATGACCCCCATCCCTTTAAATAGGCTGATTTCTGGCACGCCCTAGCATGTTTCCATTTCAAGATCCAAGAATCAACATCAATAGGCACGCTCTTTTCTTGGATATTATCACGGGACTGATTCTAAATACACTAATAACCCTGTTCAAGGGCATAATGGAAAACTCGAAAAATGGAAACTTGGTCGTAATAAGGGGTATACACAAACTTAAAGTCTGCTTATATCAACTATGGAAGTATAGATGCGAAAAAAATCCTGATATGGGAAAGAAGCCAGAACATAACATCCAGAGACAAGAAGGGAAGAAAGAAACGAATGGTAACAAGGACAGAAAGACAAACCTCACCAGACATACGTGTATATTATGAGTTTTATCCGGAACAACAACAACAAGAAGAATCTTCACACCTAATCAATTTTGATATAGACTATTGGTCAGGTAAACTTCGAAATTCATTACATACAGCTGTACATTATGCGAAACTTTGGTTGCGGATGAGATTAATGAATGATGTTAGCAAAGCAAGGATTTTACGATATTATAAAACTAACTGACAGGACCTTGGCTAATCAGTTTCTCAGTTTTGTCTGAGCAACGACCATAAATTTAATTTTTAATTTTAGCAAACTCCTCTATGTAATTATCTTGTTTTTAAAATTGTATAAATTTTAAAAAATCATTTTGGAGTGAGGCACCGTTGATTAAAAAAAAAAAAGATTTAATAAAAAAAATTTTTTTGAACCACCACAATTTCTCACGCAAAATTATCATTTAATATGAATAATTTAAATAACCAACTTCGTGGCAGATTTGTTTAACCGATTTTAATAATTTATTTTAAAATTTTTGTTAGTGAATTAATAATATATTGTTTTTAAAAATTCTAATTTCTTAGAAACTTCATTTAATAATGATAATAAAAATATTTATTTTTTTAGGTTGTACATTTTGAAGATTTGATATCGCAAGCAGCTGGAATTAGAAACTTTATTATTAAATCGGTCAATTAAAGAAGGTTATTTAACATTTTAAATAACCAATAAATTCATTTTATTTTTATTTTTACTCATTATTAATATTTTTAGATTAAAAATAAATTATATGGTAAGTATCCAATAATTTTGTTCCACATAATCCAAATGAAGTTCGTGCTGTGAAGCAATTTGTACAAGTAGACTTTTACCCAAATTGATATGAAGAAGATACATTTAATAAGTATATATTTTGTAAGAAATAAATTTTAAAATAAAAATTCTTACTAAATTATTTATTTAGATTTAAGACAGTTCGATTTTTTTTGATTTCGTATATTTAAATATTTAATTAAAAATATATATTAACGATATTTAATTAATTAAAAATATATATTAATGATATTTAAATATTTAATTAAGAAATAGATATTAACGATATGATGAAAAAAATGAAATCACTTGGAATTTTAATGAAATATTGATAATTTTTTATTTATTATTTATTTGAATTACAAATGTTTAAATAAATTGATAAATATATATATATAATCAAGAATATAATAAAACTTGAGTTTGCGATTTAAATAATAATTTACAATAATTAATAATTAATATTGTTAAATAATAAGAATTAAGAATTAACGCTACAAATAATTAACTAAGAATTAATTCTATAATTAATAATTAACAATTAATATCGATATTAAAAATAATAATTAAATTAACAACCCATGATTTCAGCTAATTCTTCTAAATTATCAACTACCCAATCAAATTCCACTCCATCATTACAATTATTATATTCATTACATTCAATAATAATATTATTATTATTATTATTATTATTACAATTATTATTATTATTATTAGATTTTTCTCTTCTAACATAAACAGTTCTTAAACCCAATTCTTTAGAATTTAATAAATCACTATAATGAGAAGATACCATAACTACTTCACTAGGATCTAAATTTAACATTTTACAAGCACCCAAATAAGTGGATTTCTTTGGTATAAATTCTTTAAATAATTCAGCGGAAAACATATAATCTAACATATGTAAACCGTTATGCCTTTTTAAATCCACTAATAATCTAACATTAGCATTACTTAAAGTGGCATTTAAATATTTTTTACTTAATTTTGATAATCCTTTTATACAATCATCATAACAATCTAAACGGTGCCATACCAAATTTAATTGGTCCATTTCATCATCACTCCAAACATATTGAGGAAGATCAAATTCTTGAATTAAGGAAAAAAGGATTTCACGATTAATTTCATCAATCGTACGAAATGGCTCTAAACCTAATAATGATTGTTGAATTCTTTTGGTCGATAGAAGGCGCCACTTTTGAGAGAATTCTGACCAATTTTTTGATGAAAGTTGAGAATTTATTGAACATCTGGTAGAAGTTAATGTAGCGAATGATGTTAATTCTTGAGTTATCGTCGTACGTAAATCTACAATTGTTCCGAATACATCATATAAGAATCTATAAAGATATTAAAGATATTAAAGATTATAATTGCTATAAAGTTGATAATTAATCTAATGAATTTTTATTTGTGGAAAAGTACATACGCTTTAACATTCCTCATTGATTCTGGGACAGCTCCGTATGCCATTTTTTAATGTATTAGATAATAAATTTAACGATAATAATAATTATAATAATAATTAATCGTGATACAGATAAAATAGAGATAACGAGAAATACTTATAATATTGTAATAAAATAGTTGATAATATATTTAACTATATAATTAATAATATCGAAAGTATGAAAATAGTAAAGACACAAATTTTTTTGAAATTTAAAATAAAAATAAAAAATAAAAATAAAAAATCTTGGACGTTAGAAAAATTATAATTTTTAAATTTCCTACGACAATGCAAGCGATGATATTTTATATATTATTTTACTTTATTACACCAATATAATAGATTATATTATCATTCTATTTACATATTCTTATTTATATTGTATATTCTACTTATTTATTCTATTTATTTTATTTATATGAAATTCGTCATCGTTTATCAAAGCAAAAAACATCATTTTACTTATATCATCATCATACGTAATTTATATATTTTAGTTGTTCCCACATTACACACATTATCGTTGTCATATTTTATTATTTTATTACATAATCCATTTACTATACCAAAATTGATACCGTATGATTTTCTTTTTGGTAAACATCATTTTACCATGTGCATAATAAATTCTTAGTTTAGTTTTTTTATTTTTTTAGTTTTTAGTTTTTTTAGTTAAATTAATGCTTCAATAAAAGATCATCAAATAACCGAAGAATTTAAAAATAATTTTAGTTTTTTGGAGACAAAAGTAAAGTATTTTTTTTTTTTTTTAAAAAAAAAAAAAAAAAAATAACAATTAATCTTAGAAAATTCATCTCTAGTGATAGTTTAAATTTCTTAATATAATTGTAATAATATAGTATAGTTTGTAATAATATAGTATAGTTTGTAAATAATATAGTTTTAATTTTGAAAATTAAATCAAATATTATTATGGGCAATTTTTACTAATTTTATTCAAATCGTATATCATTCATTAATTTATTATTTACTTTTTAAGTTAGTATAATGTCATAGGTAATATAAAAAAAAAATAATAAAGTAATAAATCATTGTAAATAAATAAATGATAAATAAATAAATAACATTAATTCTCTTGGTTCTCTTGATTATTTTTGTTTAAATTCTTGCTTTAAAGGAAGAAAGAAAAAAAAAAAAAAAAAAAACACGTAAAAGGGTTCATTCAGATCAAAATGAATAAGTAAATGCTTAATTTAGTAAGATTAAAATTGGTAACAAAGATACAATTGTTTCAATATTATTGATGTAATAATTAAAAAGATACTCTCTTCTTCTTCTGCATTCTTAATTCTATTCTATTTCTCTATTCTACCTTTATTCGATTTCTTTATTCTTTCTTTATTTGATGATTTGATGAAATGTTAAATACGCATTCTCTTCATACGCACTTTCTTCCACACGCATACAATATAATACAATTCAATTTCTCAGATTCACACGAATCTATGAATTTAAACAAACAATATGATATGATAAAATTTCTTAATTTTTTTTTTTTGTTAAACGCATCGTGTAACTAATGACCTTCTATTTGTCTTTTTATTCTCTATCTTTATATCGATATTTTCTCAATCTTTCAATCTTTCTATTCTCTATCTTTCTACCTTTCTCAAGTTTTTAAACATTCTACATACTGAATATAACTGGTAAATTTTGTTTGATAAACATTTTATTATTTATTATTTTATTATTTATTTATTTATTTTATTTTATTTATTATTTATTTGTTTATTTATTTATCTATTTTATTCTTGAAATATTTTATTACTTATCGTTATTGTAGTTATTGTTTGTTATTTATAATATGTGGGAAAAAATAAAATTTAGAGATACCACAAAAAAAAAAAAAAAAAAAAATTGAATAACGAAAGAAATGAGAGAAATGAGAAAAATAAATGAAGAAAAAGAAAATGAAGAGTTTTAGTTTCAAATTAATTGTTTCAGAATTTAAATTGAGTTTTTAAATGTTACATAACTTTAATTTTCGTATTACTTTCGATTTTAATTAATGTTTATAAATGTTTATAAATTATTGTTATTGTTTATAAACAATTACTAATAATTTAAAACACGTTTAACAAATTTTAAAAATTAATCTATTAAAATGATTAATAATTATTTAATTTACCTAGTTTTAGTTAAGTATGTATTATGTTTATTATTTTTTTTTTATCTCTCTGAATAAACAAAAATATATGTACCAGTTATCTCGTTAATTCAAATTAATAAGTTTAAAGATTAGATTCAAAATTTTTACAATAAAGTTGTCAGTTATATTGAGTCAAATCTCAGAATTTTTTTATGCAGTAGATTTCTTATTATTAATAATAAATGTTACACGGGAATCTCGATCTATTCTTAATGGAATTTGAAATAAACACTTATCTAAATAAAATGTTATTATTATTATTTTGATTTTTTAGGTTATTTATTTCTAAAATGAAATACAAGCCAATTAAATCTTGATTTCCCATTGTCCCATGACAACAACCCGATCTTTAAATGACGCAAATTAAATTAAAAATTGAGTTTAGACATGTGTTAAATTTCATTCGTTATTGAATAATCTATCAGAAAAATTGGCAAAATAACCATTTCATTTTAATGAAAAAAAGGAGTTATAGAAAAAAAATAGAGGCCTATTCTGTTGTCGATTATAATAATAAAATAAATTTGTTCAACATTAGAATAATTAGAACATGTAAATCATTATAGAATAGACCAATAAAATTGTAAAATAAAAATTCACCATTATTAATAGACCGATACGATTGTGAAATTAAATTCAAAAAAGTAAGTGTTCATACTTAACGCGTAGCGTCTTTTGAATTTTTCGAATTAATAAAATTATTTAAAACTTATAGTAAGGATATATGTATTCCAAATTCAGATAAAATGTAATTTCTATGGTTTTCATACCAACCACCTTTTCAAACCTAAAAACCCGCGTTTTTGAATTATTCAAATTAATAAAATAATTTTAAAACTTATATTAAATATTTATAAATATGTTAATAATCTTCAATTAGCCTTAAAAGATTCGTTTAATCTTTCTCCATTTCTAATCTATAAATAAGGGTAATTTAATAATTCATAAAGTAAGTAGGCGGAAAAAATAGAAATGGGAAGGAAATGAAATTGAACGAAAATCTTTTCCCGCATTGATGATAATCAATGAATTATAAATCGAAAATTATATAAACCTCCCAAATTCTCCTTATTCAATTTATTTAATCATATAAAATTTTCAAAAATAAAAAAATGAATCGTCAATTTGCCTTAACATTTGTTCTCGCATTTCTTCTTCTCTTTGTTACTACCTCAATTTTCGCCACTGAGGGGGAATTTGAGGAAAGAGATATAAAATATTTGGATCTTAAACAAATTGTACCTGGAACAGCCAAAGTTGCATATGTTAAAGAAGATAAATTGAGAGTATTTGTTCGATGGTATGGAACTGGAGAAGCGTCTGATGGTATTAATTAATATTTTATAAAATTAAAAATATTTCTTAAAATGTTTTGTTTTCTTTATTATTATTATTATTCGTTTACAAATAATTTATTGAGTATATTTCCATATTTATTGATATTTGTCAAATTTTTGATAATAATAAAAAAAATAGAAAAAGCCACTTCCAGAATTAGATGTTTCCCTCGCAGTGTTTTAACGATTTTAAATAATCCTCAAGTAAATTATTTTTCATATTATTTAATTATCTAAAAGAAACAATTGTACTATTAATTAATTATTAATTATTATTATAATATTTTTTTTAGGAACATGTATTTGGCGACTTCAATACCACTTACGATATAAAAGTTCACCAAAAGAATAAAAACGTGAGATGTATTACTGGAATTTTTGACATTGACTCTTTCCGATTCTCCTTTTCGTTTAAAACATAATTCTTGAATATTCCATTCTCTAAATTTTACCATGTCGTCATCAACTATTAAATTTGAATTGTAAATATCACGTGATTTTATGGCCGGCATTACAAGATTAAATTGTATTAGACCAAATGCTCCTAATTTGGCAAATTCTATCCAAAAAAAAAATTTCAATATACAGTAATTATTAGCTCTTCCAATTCATGTTCATCACAAGTTATTTTATCATAACTTCCATCATTACTTTTACCCTTTCATTACTTTTACCCTTACTTTCATTAAAACATTATTTTTTTGTTTAGTTCTGCCAATTTTTATTTTGCCTTTATCATTTTGAAAGAGGTGCTTTTTTTTTTTTAAAAAAAAAAAAAAAGTTATACCTTTTCATATTATAATTAAATTTTAATTTTAATTTAACATTCGTAATTTGAAGGTTCTAGGTTTAAGTTATTTAGATTTACAAACTTAACCTAATTAGAATGACTAGATGCAATTTAAATATAAAACTTTAATGTAATAAATTTAACTAACTTTAATAATATTTAATAATATAAATTTATAATAATAAAAATTTATTCTCGTACTGCAAAACATTATAATAATTACTTAAAAAAATGAGCAAATGATGTCAACCTTCGGTAAAATTGATCGCTACAAGTATAATTATTTCTGTCTTGCCATCTGGTGCAACATTACAAGAGGGACATGAATAGTACTGCTATCCTCTTAAAGTTTGTATGAAAACAGGTTGAAAATAAAAAAAAAAATATGCTTTACAATAACTCTTTTACGGGATTTTTTTGGGCGAATCTTTGTTAGAATCAAATGAAGAATTGTTGATTTGCACGTAACACCCTAACTTTGACATAATAAATAATAAACTATATAAGGTGAAGGGAATTTTTAAACTTAGTTATTTTCTAAAATATATATATATTTTAGAATGAAATTCGCTTTTCAGGATAGGTTAGGTATGAAATTAAATTTCAACAAATACTTCGAAATTCAATATATTAATGGAGAAAATGAATCCGAATTGCCCTCGTCTGTCTTTGTTTTATAGACTATGAATATTCCATTTATATGTATGTATATTAAAAGTCAATCAGGAATAACTTTATTTGGTTTAGATAATTCAGTTTTTAAGGCTTATCTCGGGTATTTTTGATTCGACAATCTCAAATTCACTTTTTTGGTACTAAACTTTTAATAGATAAAGTAATGATGGATGTAATTGCTTTTTACAAATTTATTGTCATTTATCATTAGCGGTACGGATTGTTATCCGTGAAAAATTTGATAATAGATATCCCGAATTTGTATTCACGGACCATTCACCATAATTAATAGTAAAATAAGATTTTGAAACTAAATTCAAAAAATTATTCTTAATTAGGTGTTCATAGTGTTTCAAACTTAACGCGTCGCGTTTTTTGAATTTTTCGGATTAATAAAACCTAAAAACGTGTTTTTTGAATTATTCAATTAATTTATAAATTCACACGTTTTACTAATTGGTCGTTCATGTCATGTTAATTTGATGATATTTTCACACCGATTGATTTCTGTGAGATATCTTTTTGATATTTTCACAGCAAATTTATTATAATTTTTATTCCAATTTGATAATCTAATTTTGAGTTGCTTTAAGAATATTTTTAACTGTTCCTTTTTGGGTATAAATTTGATTTTTGTTTGTTTTTTTTTTAATTCCAATTCAATTTTTTCTTCTTTTTCATTTTTTTTCATCAAGGATAATATTATTATCTAGTATTGAACTCGCAGATTGAAACATTTAAAGTAAAAATATGAAAATAATTTTATTTTTTTTTTTCAATAATTTCTGTATTTATACAATAATAATTATTTTTATTTAATATACTATTTTTACAAAATAGTTTGTTAATGTGACTTTTTTAAAAAAAAAAAATTATTATGAGCGTTAGTCTCCGTGGGATAAACCACGGTATCTCGTAATATTAAATAATCTTTAATTCCTCTTATCTCTAAAAATAATAATAGTGATAAAAAGTAGTTTAATAATAAGAAGGTGGAAAATATGGAAAGGAAATGGACGAAAATTTTTTCTCGCATTGATAATAATCATTAAATTATAAATCGAATATATTTAAATTTTCAATATATATAACTCACAAATTCTCCTTATTCAATAATAATATATCATTTTCACATAATAACATAATGAATCGTCAATTTGTCGTAACATTTTTTTCGTATTTTTTCTTCTTCTCTTTGTTACTAACTCAATTTTCGCCGCTGAGAAGGAATTGGAGGAAAGAGATATAAAATATTTGGATCTTAAACAAATTATACCTGAACAGCCAAAGTTGCATATGTCGAAAAAGATAAATTGAGAGTATTTGTTCGATGGTATGGAACTGGAGAAACGTTTGATGGTATTAATTAATATTTTATAAAAATTTCAAATATATTAAAAAATCTTTTTGAAATATTTTTAAAATGTTTTGTTTTCTTTATTATTATTAACCGTTTACAAATATTTATTGAGTATATTTCCATATTTATTGATATTTGTTAAATTTATGATAATAATAAAAAATAGAAAAAGCCACGTCCAGAATTAGATGTTTCCCTCGAAGTGTTTTACGGTTCTAAATAAGCCTTAAGTAAATTATTTTTCATATCATTTATTTATCTAAAATAAAAAATTGTACTATTGATTAATTATTAATCATTATTATAATTTTTTTTTAGGAACATGTATTTGGCGACCACAATACTACTTACAATATAAAAGTTCACCAAAAGAATAAAAATGTTAAATGTATAACAGGGATTTTTGACATTGACTCTTTCCGATTTTCCTTTTTTTTTAAAACATAATTCTTGATTATTCCATTATTTAAGTTTTACTACATTTATTTTAATTCTTTAATGTAATAGAACTTTTACGGTAACTTTAATAATATTTAATTTAACAATATATAAGAATACAAATATATAATAATACAAATTTATAATAATAAAAATTTATAATAATAAAAATTTTATTCTCATAATGCAAACATTATATTAAAAAAATGAGTAAACGATGACAACTTTCAGTAAAATTGGTATTTTTATTTTTGGTTTGACTTTGGATCATTTTTGGGAGACTTGTGGTATATTTAAAAGATCCTTTCGAGATTGTATAAAAACTCAGGTTGAAATAAAAAATGGGAATCTTTCTGTTCCTTTTCAAAACTATATATAAAAATATATCTATATTTCAAAATGAAACTCGCTTTTCAAGATGGGTATGGAATTAAATTTTTAATAAATACTTCGAAATTCAATATATTAATGGAGGAAATGAATCTGAATTTGCCTCGTCTTTGTTTTATTCTAAAATGCATTATTTATTTTTTCAAACTATGAATATGTATTATGTATATTAAAGACAATTAGGAATAACTTTATTTGGCTTAGATAATTCCATTGCAGAATTCACCTTGGGTATTTTACAATTTAGTAGTCGATCTTGATATCCATCTATCCGTGAAAAATCGGAAAATTTATTGATTATTGACTAATTATCTCGTTACATAAACGTTGCTTCTCAAAAAAAGTTAATAAAATATATAGATAATAAACTTTTGATTACTAATTAAAGTTGTTCTTTGTTAGTAAAATAAGCGAATAATGGGAAAAAATAAAATAAAATAACATTATTAAGTATTAGAAACAAGAAATAAAATGAGTTTTTTGGGGGTGGGATTGATGGGATTGATGGGTTGACAGTTATAAACAAAAAGTCTAGTTGGATCTTAAACTTTATTTTATTTAATAAATATTCTCGAAAATTGCAAATATGTAAAATTTTTCCGAATATTTTACTAAGCATATGTAGTTGATTTAATAAAATATTGAGTTTTTTTTTAGAATTTTTAGATTTTTCGAAAAAAAAATAAACAAATTATGATTGCAAAAATAACATCACCTGATCGAAAATTTCGGTACTTTTGCAATCGGTCCGTATGAAATCCGGATAATAGTTGTTGCGATCGGATATCGGTGCATCCGGATTTTGTATCCACAGATCGTCCAAACGTGTCGCGTTTTTTGAATTTTTGGGTTAACAATATGAAAGGATATAGGTAATCCAAATTCAGATAATAAACTATTAATAAAGATTTGTAATTTCTATGCATGCTATATAAGCATTACTTAATTAGGTGTTCATACCAACCACCTTTTCAAACCTAAAAGCGCGTTTTTTTGAATTATTCAAATTAATAAAACGATTTAAAGTATTAATTATTTATAAATATGTTAATAATCTTCAATTAATCTTATAAATTTCGTTTAATATTTCTCCACTTCTAATCTAAAAATGAGGTGGTTTAATAATTCCATAAAGTAAGCAGCGGAAAATACGAAAAAGGATAAGGAAATAGATCGAAAATCTTTTCCAACAGATAATAATCATTAAATTTTAAGTCGAATATACTAAAATTTTCAATATATAAACCTCCCAAATTCTCCTCATTCACAGATCAATAATCATGTAACATTTTCACAAAATAACATAATGAATCGTCAATTTGCCCTAATATTTATTCTCACATTTCTTCTCTTTGTTACTACCTCAATTTTCGCCGTTGAGGAGGAATTTGAGAAAAAAGATTCAAAATATCTGGATCTAAACAAATTGTACCTGGAACAGCCAAAGTTTCATATATTGGAAAAGATAAATCGAGAACATTTGTTCGATGTGATTGACCTGAGGAAGCGTTTAATGGTATTAATTAATATTTTATAAACTTACAATTATTTCAAAAGTTTACAAATAATTTATTGAGTATATTTCCACATTTTAAATTTATAATAAAAAAAATATTTATAGAAAAAGCCACGTCCAGAATTAGATATTTCCCTCGAAGTGTTTTACGGTTCTAAATAAGCCTCAAGTAAATTATTTTTCATATCATTTATTTATCTAAAATAAAAAATTGTACTATTGATTAATTATTAATCATTATTATAATTTTTTTTAGGAACATGTATTTGGCGACCACAAAACCACTTACGATATAAAAGTTTTCCAAAAGAATAAAAATGTGAGATGTATTACTGGAATTTTTGACATTGACTCCTTCCGATTTTCCTTTTCTTTTAAACATAATTCTTGATTATTCCATTCTTTAATCTTTACTACATGTATTTTACTTCTTTAATGCAATGAACTGAACTTTATCAGTAACTTTAATAATTTTTAATAAAGCATAATATTTAATATAAATGCACATTCCCAACCCAAAAGTTTAGGTCCATAATATTAACTTTACTCCGTGATACATATGTAAATGAAAATTACTATGTTTTATTAAGTAAATTTAATATCTGTCCTAAACTTTTGGGTCGGGAGTGTGTATATAATAGTAAATTTTATTCTCATTAAAAAAATTATATTAAAAAGAAGAGCAACCATGACAACATGCATTTTTATTTCTGATTTGCATTTTTGAAAGACCAGTGACATATTAATAATGCATTACAATTGTCATATAAAATAAACAATATTAATGTGTAGTTTATAGTATAAACAATATAATTTTATTTCTGTAAGCATACAAAAATGGTTATTTCGTGATCCGTGAAACAACCAGTGAAAACGCCGGATTTACATAATCCAGTGTTAAACTTACACAAGCGAATATTTTTTTTTAATCGGACTACTGAAAGTATACATAATTTTAACTTAAAAAATTAATTTTTTTTTTTATAAAAGTATTTTTAACATGTAACAAAGTAATTCTAATATGTAAAAATTTGTTCTTTTGTTAAAGCTGCTTCGAAGAAAGATGTTTCTTTTTTTAGATGATCTATAATTAAAGGTATTAGACTTTCTTCCTTTTGCCTTTTGAATCATCATTAAATGCCCAAAGTAACCAACACAAATCGCTCACTAAAAATATTTTAAAAAATTCTTTTTCGATATCTTCTAAATGTGCCCAGACACGAAGCTGATTCAACCCAAGTATAGGATTCTTTAGGATATTAGATTTTTTGATAATTGTTAATTTATTTCATCTTTCTTAATATCATTCCTCATTGTTTTAAGATTTTCTCGAAGGCTTGAGAACAAGATCATTATGTTATAATGTTTGTTATTTGAAATCAGATATCTTGTTCATAAACAACTTTTTATGAATTTAGAATCATGATATGACTTTGAATTTAGGATGTGATTTTGTTAAAATATCATTTTTGGTTAGCTTTTAAACGATCCATTCAATAATATAAGTAAATTTTAATTCTTCGGCTTGTTCCAATAAAATTCTGTTTTCTGATATTTGAGCCACCATTAAATGTAAATTTTGTAAAAGCAAATAAGCTAAAAGTCTTTGTGTTGGAGAACTATTTAAATTTGCTGCCTTAAGAAAATCTTGAAACCAAATTCCTGAATATTGATAATTATTTATACTAGTTTCAAGATGAGAACTCAATTTTCCATCCATCGAACTCCTATTTTTTTTTCTGGAACTGACTCGCTAGCCATCTTTTTAATAATATTTGCCAATCTTGGTAACATTTTATTGATAGGATCTATATAAAGAATGGTCTCAAATAAGTGATGTCGTTGTTCTTGAATACAAAAAATATTAATATTTTCCCGATATACTTTTTCATCATTTGTTACAAGGTGTTAAAAACTTTACGAGAAAAAGCAGATATTTTTTTTCCAAGTGAAAAGAATGCTTTTGAAATAGAAAATTATTTTCTTGAATTTCTACTGAATTTTTTTTAACTTTTCGATAATCTCTATTGTAAATTAATACAGTGTTAAATAATATTAATAATATTTAATATTTACTCTACTAAATCTGACGTTACAAATATTTTGAGGTAAATAAGGCTTTATTCTATAAAAAAGGAAGGTAAAATAATTTATTAAAGCATAATGTAGCATATGAGCAAAGAATGATAAATAATTAGTCGAATTATCCAAATTTTTCATTCATTTGCATTTTCATCTAATTCAAATAATTTCTAATTCTTTGACGCATTAATACAAATAATGCATTACAATTGCATTATAAAATATATTATTATATAATATTAATGTGATTAATGTGTAGTTTATAAACAATATTATTTTAATTAGTAACTAGAAAATTATACCTCAAATTAATTTCATAATTTAATATGCAGTGAACTCTATAAATGCACCCCAGGTAATCCGCATTAGGATGGGGTGCATTTATAGGGAATGCATTTATAGAGGAAAATTTTATAAGTGATGTTGAAAATTACAATATTAATATCACAGATTTATCGGAACATGATTTGGCAAAAAAAAAATATCAATCAACTTGGCGAGAAAATAATTTCTTTATAGCATCTACAAATTTGGACTTACATATATAAAATATTTAAGTGCCGTTTTTTCACGAATCACGACTTAATATTTTAGAACACTTTATTCGAATTTTTTATCTTGAATTGTTTCATTATGTCTAGTCTATTCTGCTTAATGAAATAATACGTAATCATAATATGTATAAATTTCTTATTTTTCATTGGTTTTTTTTTACGAAAATGGAAATAATAACACATTAAATAGATTCAAGAAATCTACCATTGGATTTCTTAATGTTTGACAATGCACTGTATAACAAATAAACAGAAGGTTTTAGAATAATGTACAATGGAAAAATTAACTTCATATATTTATCGTTAAATTTATCTTTTTATCGTATAAGTTTACAAATTATAAATTCTATTTGAATTTATATTGCATTTAAAACTTTAATAATATTACGTTTCACCGTTTTTCTTTTTTTTTATAAAAATTTTATTCCGCAAAACATAATGGGAAACATAACCTCTAAAGATATAGAACAAGAACAATTATTTCAGTTTCGTTTGAAATTAGCTGAAGAAGGAAATAGTGATTCACAGAAATATCTTGGTTATTGTTCTCAAAATGGGATTGGAATAACAAAAGATGAAGACTTAGTATTTCAGTGGTACTTGAAATCAGCTGAAGGAAGAAATAGTAGTGGACAATATAATCTTGGACGTTGTTATCAATTTGGAATTGGAACGATAAAAGATGATGAGAAAGCATTTCAGTGGTATTTGAAATCAGCTGAAGGTGGAAATAGTGGTGGACAGAATAATCTTGGATATTGTTATCAACATGGGATTGGAACAACTAAGAATGAAGAGAAAGCATTTCAATGGTACTTGAAATCAGCTGAAGGGGGAAATAGTAATGGGCAATATAATCTTGGACGTTGTTATCAATACGGAATTGGAACAATAAAAGATGAAGAGAAAGCATTCCAGTGGTATTTGAAATCAGCTGAAGGTGGAAATAGTAGTGGGCAATATAATCTTGGATATTGTTATGAAAATGGGATTGGAACAACAAAAGATGAAGAGAAAGTGTTCCAGTGGTACTTGAAATCAGCTGAAGGAGGAAATAGTAATGGACAATATAAACTTGGACAGTGTTATAAAAATGGAATTGGAACTACTAAGAATGAAGAGAAAGCATTACAGTGGGGTTTGAAATCAGCTGAAAGGGGTAATAAATTTAATCACGGTTCAGTTGAATATTATTATCGAAAATGAAATATGAATCTCAAAAATTAAGAAAAATGAAAATAATCTTATACAGCTCCAGTTATCTAGTCTCCTTATACAGCTCCAGTTATCTAGTCTCAGCAAGTTCAAAAATTAGGTGTCAAATTCTTGACGGTAACATCATGTCAGTATTACAGAATTAAAAATGTTTGCCAGCATTACAAATAAATTTATTTCATATTATTAACAAAATTTAGGAATTGCACGAATTGTTTGAATTCGCAGCAATTTGTTCTTGATTTAATTTAATCGTGCAACAGTTTCACATAAAAAATCACTCACATGAATAGATCTTACTTGACCTTTTTTGCGTAATTGTTCTCCTTTCAAGGCCCAACCAGATAACCTCCCATCATTGGAATGAAAAATTGTTTCATAATGTGTTATTAATATATGTAAAGGTTGATAATTCAGGATTATGTTGAATTTCAAGATTATCATCGCATCCATTATGATATCCAGAAAGACTATTATTAAATTTTCAAATTAATAAAATTAATAAATATTTATTTTAAAAAAATTCTTACATTTCCATTTGCTTTAAAAACTTTTTTTCGATATTCAATAATATCATCTCTTTCATGTCCATCAATATAACTGCTTTTAAAAAAATCTTTTAAATTCAAATCCCATTTTTTTAAGCCACCTTTGTGCAGTTGCTTCACTAGTTAATAAAATTAATGTGTATATTAATATTTTTTTATTAATAATTTAATACCAACCTAATTTTTGATTATTCACAGTTCCAATTGAACGAAAAATATTATTTGTAATATAATCGATAAAACCATTAACATAAAATCCAAAATTTTTTCTCACAAATATGAACTTAGATTTTATTTTCTGATGTTTTCCTCATTTAGAAATGGGAATATCCTCCCTTTTTTTAGTAAGTTTTTCCCATTCCCAAATGCGACGTGCAAAATTATCTCCTCTTTTAATTGTCTTGCAATAGAAATGTCAGCTTTAATTTTTCATTCATTGTGTTTAATAAGTCTAAGATACTGTAATACTGCAACTATTCTTAATTTATAACTGGAATCATATTCTTTTGTTAATAAATTTTCAAGTAAATTAATTGCTTGATCATTGGATAATTCATCATTCTCAGATTCAGAATTAGATTCATGTAATTTTTCCGATTTAACTTCATTTTCAGATATAGTGTTTGTTTCAGAATTAAAAAATAAGTAATTGTTTGACCATTTTGTATTTTATGTTTTTAGCTTCATTTTTTTTTTCTTTTTTTTTTGGTTCGAACTGAATTTCCAATATAAATAGATTTGCGAACAGATGTGTAAAATTTTAATAAAATTAATAAGCTTTTTCATTCAATTCATGGTTATCCCAAATTGCTTCACTCTCACTTTCACTTTCACTTTCACTTTCATTATCATTACTTTCATAATCTTCTTCAATTGAAGTGCTAATTTTTTTTTTTTTTACTTTAATTCTTCCAATTTTTTTTAGTTGTTTTTATCATTTAGAAGGTGCGGCATAAATACAATATTTTTTCATTGATGCAACAACCAATTTTATTGGTTAATATTGAAAATTATATGGGCCAAAATTTGATATTTCATTACGTAATATTAGTAAATCTTGCTTTTAAAAAAGGCCAATAACTTTTATATTATCCTTTAAATGGTAAATCATGTGAATTACGAGCAAATTTGCCCGGATTTATTAGTAACTTGTGACGTCACTACCGTCTAAGGGATAATTAAAAATCGATTTTCAAATCGTAATTTGAAAGTTCTAGGCGAAACTATCAAATTATGATTAGATTTACAAAAATAGACTAATATAGAAAAGTAGATACGATTTAAAAATTGGGTATAAAACTTGGGCTAGACGAATGGATTTGAACAAGACACTAAATAAAATACTGATATTTGCTGATAGAAGATGGTTGCAGTAAAATCTGCATTAAATATAATCAAAATTTTAGTAGATGTCATAAATGTGGAAAATTTAAAAAAGTATGTCCAAATTGTAATCTAATTTTAACTTTATGACTTTATAACTTTATAATATAGATAATAGTAATTTTCCATTGTCGAGATAGGTATGTTTTACCAATTTTGGGTATAAACAAGATCCAAAGACAAATGAGTATGCATTAGTTTTGCGATATATGAAAAATGGAAATTTGAAAAACTTTCTTCAAAGAAATAAGACATTGCCTTGGAAAGAACGGTTATGATTAATACATTCTTTTATTAAAGGTTATAAACTATTCACAGTAAAGGATTTATTCATCGTGATCTTCATCCTGGTAATCTTATGATATATACACAAGCTTCAGATATTTATAGTGTTGGAATTATTATGTGGGTAATATCAACAGGAAAATACGATTTGAAAGAGAATTATATGATCCAGAACTAGCAATAGCTATTTTCAATGGACATCATCCAAAAATTCATGAAGGAACGCCTCAATGTTATGTTGAATTGATGAAAAAATATTGATGCAATAATCCATTTGAACGTCCAAGTACTGAAACTATTTTTACTACATCAGAGGGATGGGTTGTAGATTTAACTTAAAATAAAGCAACAGAATATGCACTTATGTTTTTAAAAGCAGATCAAGAATGCAAAATATAGATTCTGATTTATTATATAATGAAACTACTTATTCTGGTGCACATCTTATAAGCCAATCTTTAACAAAACATAGTTCAGCAATTCATAAATCAAAATTTGATGCAAATAAATATGTAGGTATGATCAATTTGGATAATTAATTCATTGAATTTAGTTTGTTTCAATTACAGTATATTATATTTGAAAATTCCATATTTTGATACTATTTATATATCATATGATTGTACTTTTTTGGAGTGTTTCTGGTATATTTAGTAATAAAGGTTATGCATATCAAAATTATATGATATAGAAATTAGTTGATGTTAAACTGTGAGGCATGTTGCCTTATTATATATATGTTTGCCTGTTTGCAAAACTAAAAAATTATGTTGTATTAATATTATTTTAAATTACAAATTTTTAATTGATTTGAAGTAAAAGTATAAGCTTGCAAATTTGAATAGTACTTTGTGAGTTAGGCTCACAGGCCTGAGTTTGATCTGCAGAAAAAATAAATAATAAAAAAAATAACCTTTATTCAGATTGAATAAAAGGCCATGCCTCTTTTGTCATAGATTTAACCGTCTATCAGCCTCTGCTTGCGATATGATCTAAAAAAATTGAGTAATATAAGTAAATATACAATATTGAGTAATATACAGTATTACATAATATAAAATATCAAAATAATACTATAAATATTTACTTCTCCAATATATTCGCCTAAAAATTTATTTTTCTTTGCATGTTCTCTAAAAAATAATCTCCAACCAGCTACAGATGAAATTCCTAAAATAGTACGTTAAGTTTTAGTTTTTTATATGAAAAAATTTTTGTTGTTATTTGTGTTTAATGAACTCAATAGTAATAATTTTTCTTTTTACTTTTTAAAAGAAAATTATTATTGTAATTATGATGGATGAAAATTAAATAAATAAAATCTTAAATAAAACCTTTGGTTTATGCCTTTGAATAGAGACATTTTCATGTCCACGTCATGCGATAAATTGAGTATTCGATGGTTCTAAATTGAAATTATAATTAATCAAATAATAATAATAATATAACAATAATTAACAACCAAAGATTTTTACCTGATGCAGCACATTTAAACAAATCAGGATCACATTCGCGATAATTTGTAAAAAGTAAACAATTTCAATTACTACATATCTTTCTTGATCCTGAACAATTGCAACCTGGAAACCTTCTTAGACCTTTAAAAATATAATTAATAATTAAGGAAATATTTATGTAATAATATTTTAATAATAAAATATAAAAAAATAAATAAATAATGAAATAAATAAATAATTAAATAAAATAAAAAAATAAATAATCACAATCCAAATCACAATGACTATTTTTCAAAAGGTGCATTACCTTTCTTGTAAGGACAATTCATATCAAAAGGTTTTCACAAGGAAATTTTCCGAATGACTTTCTGTTCTGCATCATTTTCAATTTTTTGCCATCCTTTTAGAAGATGAATTATTTTAATAATTAAAATGTATATAGAATAATCAATAACCAATAATAATCAATAATCGATAATAATCAATAATAATAATAACGATCAGAGGAAATGTCCCTTAATATTTTGTGTAACATGTTCTACATGATAAATTTATTAATTTTATTGCAATTTTCACCGATTTGCTAACCCCATGATAATATAAGTTATTACACCTTTATATTATAATGTTTATGAACCACTGGATTCTTCCTTTTCAGTTTTTAATCTGTTGCGGATGGTAAGTTTATTATTATAAAACAATCTTTTAAAAACTAATGTAATTCGTTCGATTTAGATACAGTACGTACGTACATATAATTTTAATTTAAGATAAGTTATTAAAAGTAAAAAAATGTTTGAAGTACAAAGTTCAATCCTAAATAAAGACTATTTATTTATTTTATTGTTTTTATTTATTGTAAGTTTTATTTATGGGATGGTTTCGCCAATATGTTGTAACACGATCCTTATCCCAACCGGATTCTATATCTTGAAGTTCATGAAGAACTTTATATAATAGTTGATCATCTTCGATAAATGATTTATGTGTAAGTAATCGAGAAAGAATTTCTTTTGCCTTATTAATTGTTGATCCGCGTATTCGTTTTGTAGATGAAGTCTTTTCATTATCATTATTAATAGTTTTACTATCACTATCATTAACATTAGTATTTTTTTTTTCTTTTTTTATCAGTATTAGTTAGCAAGCTTGAAAACTTATATGTATTTACATTATGTTTTCTTCAACTCGTTCTTCAATTTTTAAAATTTCTTGGTGATTAATAAAATTTAATCTTTTTATTCCTTGTAAAAAACATGTTGAAATACGTAGAAAACCTTTTTCATTTATTTCTTTCGTACTTTTAAATAGTTCGTGATCAGTTGGGCTAGATAATTGAAATGCAGTAATTAAGTTTTCAGCAAGCTTCCAGATTGCTTCCTTTCGAGGTTGTATATTTCTATCTTTTTAATTGTAATTATATCTTCTACATATTCAGATAAAAGTATTTTGATTCTATCTCTTTCGGATTGAACAGATGATATTTGTAATTTTAATTGTTCATTATTCATTATATTTGGTTTTATGTTCTGCTTAACAAACTTTACTCCAAAAACTTCTATTGCCTCATCAAAGGCTAAATAATGACCTGGGCGAGTCAGATTTACTGAACATGCGTCATTAAGTAATTTTTGTAAATAAAAATCTTTAGAAATTTGGTCTAGAAAATGTGTTGTTGATCGGGCATAATTGCTTTTGCCAACAGTTATAAAAAGAGGTGAAAATACTGAAAGCGAATGAAATTGTAAGTCATAATTGGCACGCCTTATTCCTATTTTATGATCAATTACAAGTCCCATCTAACGAAAATATAAAATTCAAACTTTCACAATATTATTTTCCTTTTCAATATCACATATTGTTTCATTTTGATTTCTATTTTTTAAGTATTTCATTAATGCAATTCCGACAGCCATCCAAATTAATTCTAGAACACAAAATGTCGCATCATAGTCAGTAACTTTTTCTAATTTATCTAAATACTTAACCCCCAGATTTGCTGCTAAGTTAAAAATCCCATATCCTGAAAAAATAGTAATTATAGTTGCACACATGGCTTTCGAAGTGTGCCATTGACCTAGAAGCAACCGCAAGATTCACCTTTTTTTGACTCACGATATGATAATAATCTATGAAAAGTATTTAATCAGATGCAATATCTAAGTGTTCATTCTCTGATAATTGAAGATCTTTAAAATACATTTCGCATGAATTATGAACATTTAAATCACTGTAAGAATTACAAAGTTTGTAGCAAGAACTTGGGTACATCTTTTACAAATTCATCATAAATATCATCGATATCCCAATTATTTGAGAATTGTTCCATAAGTTTATTGAAAACAGTTTCATGTTTATAATATTGATTTTTTATAAAGTCTGATTCACCAAATAAAGTACAATTAATATTATTATTTCTATTATTACTGCCAATTTGTTCATTTGCAGCAGTATATTTGAGAGATTTAAGTGATATTGGCAAAGTAAATTGAAAAACTACACGTAGGGTTGCATGTGAAGTACCTCTAGCATCATCAAAGATATTTCCATATTTAAATGAACTTTCCTTAAAGTTTATATTATCGATAACTGATACATTCCAAATATTTTCACCTTTTATAAGTCTTTGAACTGGATTTGTTTTAATCATTCTACATTGTTCTAATTTTCTCTCATAACGTTGTATATGAGATACTACACCTGCAGTACATAAAATACTATAGAGTGATGTTAATAATTTAGATTTACATGCCAAAAAACTCATTACATGTGTAAGCCAAATGTCTGTGGCAGGAAAAGCAATAGAAAGAATTACTGAAATAAAAAATATTGATATTTTATTTACACGAGCTTCATCAAAAGCCTTCATTTCTAACCCTCGTTGCCTTCTTTTTTTATTGACTATATCATGTTTTCTTTTTTGTAACTTAGTAATTAGCCCATTAAAAAGGTTTAAAATACAACGTGGAAAAGCAGCCTGATATTCCGCTAAAGAGTTTGGTTTTTCAAGAGCCTCTTTATTTTGACAGATTTCATGCTGAGATTTCTATAATGAAATTTCTAATATTTCACCACTTTTTTTTTGATATTTCAGGTGTAAAGTCATGGTCGCTTTCCATTATTTTTACAATATTAACTTGTCCAAGTCGTAGAGCTGTTTTTATGAATAAAAGACTTGGAGGATTTTTTATATGTGACTTGGTTTTATCAAAAAAAGGTAATATTGAGCTAAGATATGTCAATAATTTTTTTTTTGTTCAGACTTATTTGATACTGCCGTATTTAAAATAAATTGTCCTAATAATTCAAGTGCTTGTGTTACATTATCATCATGTTTATCATTAAATAATGAAGGTTTTTCCCGCTACCTGGATGCTGAAAAAAATGAACACCTTGTGAATTAAAACACTATGTACAAATATATCGAAGTTGGTATTCATTATCACTATTATTAATTACTTTTTTCAACATTGTTATTATTTTTAGTAATAAATGCTGAGCAAGTTTTAAGACCCATACAAGGTGCTTGTATATTTTGTCCTATTACACGTATAGAATGTTGAATGCAACTAGCTCCACGACTAAAGAAGTGTTTGTCCTTATTACAAAATAAACATTGATGATAAGTTATACAACTTTTTTCAATGCATTGTAAATTTTGAGATTTGAACTATGAAGTTCAATTTGATCAAAAGTAAAATGTGATCCACAGATCCCCAAAGTATATATTTTATTATCATTTTTTACTGACTTGAATGCTTCACTATCAATTTCCCAGGTGTCAACCAATTGTGCCAAAGGTCTTTGTGATTTTTGCTTGTAATTAGAACACCATTGCACCTGACCATCAACTATATGTAAAAGATCACAAGAGTTAATATTTGATTTTTTTCATAATTATCTAGAAGATAATTTAAGCTTTCGTCTTCTATTTACCCTGTTACAAATGATGCCATTTCTGGGAATTCATATTCTAGGTTCTCCCATTCAATTTCATCATCATCATTATTTTCTTTTTTATTAGCTAATATTTGGGCCTGTTCAAAAGCCAAATCATCCCATATAAATGGTTGTATTTCGATGCTTTCATCATAGTCAACTGTTGTATCATCAGATACAAGACTTCCCGTAACAGTGATGGAACTTATACTATCATCAAAAATATCACAATCACTATCAGGATCATGTACATCAAATGCCTCTTCATTTATTCCAAAGTTATTAAATATTAAAATATCTTCATTTAATTTTTTATCTTGTGCTATATAATTTATAAAATCAATTAGATATAATAGAAATAAAATAATATTATGATAAATTTGATCCCAGAGTAAGTGCAGTTGTGTTGGCAAGTAATGGATATAAAGTAATATTTGAAAGATCTTCTGATTTTAGACTTTTTTTCACTACAATGGACAGCTGCTTGGTCGTATAAGAGGATAACTGATCTATTTGTTTCATACATTTGTTGATTTAAATTAATTAAAAAATTATTCCAAATTTCAGTTGTCATCCATGCATTATTATTCCAATAATAGTTTACTGGCAGGTCTTCTTTCTTTATTCCTTCTAATGGTCTAGGTTTGTAATAATGAATAACTAGTAGTTTTATTTTTATTGTACCTAAAAATAAATAAAAAAATAATTAAAATAAAATTTATTTAATAAAAAGAAAAATTTAATATAAATATATATACCTGTTAAATTGGAGCACAAAAGTACAGTAACTCTCTGTTTACTTTTTTTCTTTCCAATAATAGTTTCTCTTGCAAGAGATCTAGATGGTTCTATTTTCCAAAACAAGGCTGTTTCATCACAATTATAAATATCATTCCTTTAATATACTTTTCAATTCCTCTCTATATTCTGGAAGTTTCTCAAGAGGTGCATTGTTAGCTTCACCATAATGAACAAATTGTTTCAAGCTTGCTCTTTTTCTAAAGTTGCTTAACCCGACTTCTGATGCTTTAAAATTATTAATATTTAAAAAATTTTGGCAAATTCCTGGGCTTGATGAATCAATATAAAACCAGTTATTGTTAAGTTAGCCTTTAATGCATTATTTACCCAAGCTAGTAGAGCTTTTCTAATAGGGGAAACTTTGGAGTTCTCTTTCTCTTTCTCGTCACCCAGGCTTCATTACTATTTAAATCAATTGTAAGCCAATAATCTCTATTAAATAATTTTTCCTATTCATCATTCCAGTTTTTTCTTTCTTTACACCAATTTAATCTTTTTTTTGAATTTGATTCTGAAGTTAATGGTTTTTTCTTAGCTACTCTTCCATAGTATCCTGACTTATGTAAAACATGCCTTACAGTATCAGTACTAACTGTTATTTCTAAAGAACTATTAAATTTATCAGTTAATTCTATAATTGAATCTGCTCTGTTGTCTTTAACAATTCTTACTAATTGTCTTTTATCAGTTTCAGTTAGTACTGCAGGTCTTCCAGTTCTAGGGGCATTGGAAGTTATACCTTTTACTTTATATTTTTTTAATTATATAAGCAACATGTCCCAGAATTCTAGAAATATCAATATTGCTGTTTCACCTTTATCAAAATCAGTTAATTCTCTTAGTTTTGGTATTTTTAATTTAAAATTAATTAATAATTTGTAAATATTATGAATTATTGATACAATAATAACAATAAAATGAAAAAATTTTACAATCTGGTTTATTTCATTTAATTATTCTTGTGGTATATATAATTTTATAATTTTACCAAAGATCAATAATTTAATGCACATTAAAAAAATATAAATTTCTCAATAAATATTTAACCAAAAAATACAAAAATTTAAGCATATATATTTAATGACCTTCCAAATCTGTTTACTTAGTAGTCCAAATTGTTATGAAAGTGGCTCAAAAATCGGAATGAGTTAATTTTTTAGCATAAATTTCTTAAAAATTTTACTTTGAATTTGAATATCGATTGTTCCTTTATTTGGAATTATATGTATATGAAATTTATATATTATATGTATTATATCTTATTCTTAAGGTTATTTGTAAGCATTTTTTATATTTTATTATTAAAAAATTAATTTTAATATGTCACAACTTTTGTCAATCATTTCCGAATTTTATCTATTTCACAAATATTTCAATTCTGTGTCGATCATTTTTAAAAAATCAATCCGAAATCAATTACCAATCGGGACCGCATATAAAAACTTCCTATCTATTAATATAACATCAAAAATGGTACTAAATAAAGTTAAATTTTAATATATGGAGCATCTACTGTGAAATTTTTAGATTTTTAAATTGAGAATTGAATTTGATATTAACGGTTGAATTTCGGACGTTTAAAATCGTACCTAAAGTTTAATCGTGTATTGTTCTCTCAATTCTCACTATATAAGGCTGAAATTTTTACAAAAAATGCTCCATATTTCAGGCTTTAAGATAACTTAATACCACATTTATTATTAAGTTAATAAATAGTCAAGTTTTTTTTGGTATAAACGATCGATTAAATTATTTTCGATTTTTTTTATTTTTTTTATTTTTTTAAATTTCGGTCGTTTTTATTCACGTCTAATTGAAGTCAAAATTTTTATTAGGTACTGAGAATAATGTTAATAATTAAAGTTGTAGATAATATTTTTGGTTACAATTTCATATGAAATAGTTGGTATCTATCTTTAATACCCATCGAATGCGGTATAGGTAACGATCTAAGAATAAATTTATTATTTTTGTCAGTTTCATTTGAGGAGTAATATCTCTATGTATAGATGTTCAATTTTATCACAAAATATATCATAAGATAGTTCTAGTTTAGGGGAATCTAATAAAAAAAAGTTTATACAATTTAGATCACTCATTGTGCCACAATTAGCATTTTAATTTTAGTAATTATTTTCGAATTTTATCATTCCACAAATACTTTTGCTAGGGGAGTGTACATAGTGAAAATATTTTGATAATCTCAGGTGGTGCATCAATTGCTAACTTAGGTTTATGTAGTTTGGAAAATGATTTAATATTAAAATCTGGTAATAAAAGCAGTAACATTTATGGATCAATTCCATATATTCCACCCGAAGTTTTACTAGAAAATGGATTGACAAAAAAGGGAGATATTTATAGTTTTGGTGGAATTATGTATGAATTAGAAACTAGAACACAACCATTTTATGATCAAGCCCATGATACCTGTTTAATAATTGATATATGTAATGGAATAAGACCAAAAATTCCTGATTTTATGGATTGGATACCACAATGCTATTCCGATTTGATGTATAAATGCTGGAGTGGTGACCGAACTGCCAAAGAATTATATGATGTAATATTGAATTTCTTTTGGAATTTGTCGCTTAGATACGTATTTTAAAATCGATTATAATTCTCTAGAACAATTTGTATCTTCATCCACAATCTTGCTATATTAGCCGAAGTATTCATACTCTTCATGATTGCATGATTCATTGGAAGATATAAAATCTGGAAGAGTTCAAGGTAATATTTTCTTTGTCATGATTTTAATTATATATTTTAATAAATAAATAATAATTAAATTTAAAATGTATAGATCCTAACTTATTAACGTCTAATGAACCAACTATTTCAAGTATCAATATTTATGATATTGATTCTAAAGAATCACAGAGTGCTTTGATTGGGAAAGAGAAATTCAAAATAAAGTTGAAAAGAGACCATTCACTTTAGATTGTAATTCTCGAAAATCCAAAGAATGCATTAATTTGGATAACAAAGATAACATTGCACCTAAAAAAACTAAGAAAATTAAAAAAGACTAGTTCATATTCTCATTTTTTTTTATTTAGTTCACCTTTTTTAAAAAAAATCAAAAAAATTCTGATATTGTTTTATTTTCTTTTATATTAATAAATTTTTATTGTAAGAGTAATTTTTTTTTTTACTTATTATTTCGGATTTATCGTGTGTAAACTTGTTACAAAAAGCGAGATTTTATGATTTTCCTTTTTTATACTGTTAATAATTTTGTAATAATAATAAACATAATTATGTTCATGTAATAAAAGGATTCAATAAAATTAACATTCTAAATATAAAATTTAATTTCAATTGCAATAACAATTATTTCCATTTCTCAAAAATCCTTAATTAAAAAAAAATCGCGGTATGCTTAAGCTTGCTGGAGGTGCTGGAGCTGGAACTTGAGTCCGTAGTCGGTTTAATATTCCTCCCAAGGCTATGATAGCAAATGCCATTCTAACATATAAGGTGTATTATTTAGAATTCGAAATCAATTTTGGTTTTGTATTCAGTAAAATCAAAACTAATGCAAGAATACTCCCTAAAATTTAGAATAAACAAATTATTAAAAATAAATAAATACCTCAAAAATTAATTGAACAATTAAGCAAACAGTAGTCAGACAAACTTTCTCAAAAAACACAAAAATATTAAGCAATAAATCCGGGTCAATACTCCTACTGATTTGATGTGTCCCAGTAGTTTCAGGTTTATCTGCTGAACGCTGAACGCAAATTTCTCATGACAATTGGATCAGAAATTAACTCTTGAACGCGTAAATGTAGATACACCAAAAATATAATACAAATTTCTTTTGTTATAGAACTAGCTTTGTTTCACAAGGTAAAAATATATTAGTATGTCAAATACCATTTTAAATTTATTTTTCAAAACAATTAATAAAATACATGTTTTATAATTGTGTTTATCTAATTCATGCAATTATTCATGAGTTCAACTGATTTTTTGTCAATATTCACAAATTTCTCTATTGAAATGTCATTTAACTTTGTATGTCCAACTAATATTTGTTCATTGCAGATAGATCAAATGATGTAATGTTAATTCTTGTGTTTTGTGCACATTTAAAGCAAATGCATTTTGTAGTGGAAATTGCTTTGTTTCTTTAAAAAATTTTGCTTTTTTACTTTATTGAACATGAAAAAATTAAAATCATATTTTTTTATAAATACTTATAAAAATAATAAATAATTTTATAAATAATTATAAAAATAATAATTACTAATAGATATTTCATTGCAAATGCATGTAGGATTTCATTTATAAATTTTGCATTTGCTTTTGTCATATTTTTATCATCATAATCTAGATAAAAGATATTATCACAGGCCAAATACAAAAGATATGCCATACCAAAAAGGAATTCAGATTTTAGCAGATTTAATATATCGGATGCAATAGGATGGTCAATTTTTATTGAATTTAGCTGATCTATAGTATAGGAATACTGATTTTTAATATAGGTTCACCATTTGGTACAGTGATTCTTTGTATTTGACTAGCTAGTGTATAGTGTTGCAAATGTGCAGAGTATTTCAAACACCTTCACCTATCAGTCTCAGAGTTTGCCTCATACAAATTTACACTAGTCAAATACAAAAGAATCGCCATATCAAATGGTAATTCCTATACTATAGATCAGCTAAAAATCAGTAAAAATCGACCATCCTATTGCATTCTATATTATAAATCAGCTAAAATCAGAATTCCTTTTCAGTATGACATATCTTTTGTATTTGGCCTGTGTCTCTAATAACCACTTCTTTTATACTTTTTCACCTTCATTCAAACTTCACCTGTCATCCTTTGAACTTCATCCTTCATCCTTGTACATTATCTTTTGGATGACCACACAAGTTATCATCCTCATACAATTATCTTAGTTTTACCATTTACCATCTCCCGTGATAATCCGCATGATTACCAATCTACTTCACAATATATTTCATTTTGTAATAAATTTTTATAGCTGATTGCAAAAATTGAACTTAGTCCATTACACAATACAAAAAAAAAATTTTTAGTAAAGTTAGTAAAAACACATAGATGGTTTATAACTAACTTACAACTACTAGTTAGAGTTGTTCTTTATTAAAAAGAAAGAAATAAAATAAAATTATTTACATCTGAAGTAAAAAATAAGATGAGTTTTCGTTAAGTAGGGTGGCAGGTTAATGAGTTTTGATAGTTTTTTTCAGTTACCCAGTTATGTTTAAAGCTTTATTTATTTAATAAAATATTTTTTTAAAACATAAATATATGTAAAATTTTGTACTGATTATTTTTACTTAGAGATTAGAAAGTAGTTGTCTTAATAAAATATCAATTGCCAATTCACGTATGATGATAGAAATTTAATTATAAATCGAAATCTTTTTTTCCTCTCATTGCCTCTCATAGATAAGTCTATCGATTTTTAACCAAATCATTTGAAATTTTTAATTGAAAAACTTATAGATTCAGTATCTGTTGGAAAGAAGATGTTGCAGTAAAATCTCTATTAAGTATTATCAAAATTTTAGTAGACATCATAATTGTGGAAATTTAAGTATTCAAAAAATATATGTCCAAATTGTAAACTTATTGAAGTAAGCTATTTGTCAAAATGGATCAGTGGTAATTATGATGTTGACAAGATTATTTATATGTCTCATTTGGATGAAAATGCAAAGGAACGGGAAATTTGGAGATGGGTAGATTATAGTAAATTCACAAATATAAAATATTTAGCTGAAGGTGGATTTAGTAGTGCTTGGAAAGCAGAATGGAAAGATACGGATTCTATAATTCAAATCAAGTTGCTTTGAAGGACTTAGGAATTCATAACAAATTAGTTCTAAATTTTTAAAAAGGGTAAATGTATTAAATATATCAATTTTTTAATATGAGAAATATGTGATTTAACTTTATAACTTTATAATATAGTTAGTAAATTTCCATTGTCTAGATAGGTACGTTTTACCAATTTTGGGTATAACATAAGGACCAAAGACAAAAGAATATGCATTAGTTTTATGATATATGAAAAATGAAAATTTGAAAACCTTTCTTCAACAAAACAAAATATTACCTTGGAAAGAATGGTTATGGTAATAAATTCTTTTATTAGAGGATTAAAAACTATTCACAGTAAAGGATTTATTCATAGTGATCTTCATCCTGGGAATCTTATGATTACTGAAGCACACGATAATTCAAAATTTATTAGATTGGGAGATTTAGGATTATGTAGACCAGCTAATGAAATCTTACCATCCAAACATATGGTGTATTACCATATATTGCACCAGAAGTTATAAATAATAATCAATATGCACAAGCTTCAGATATTTATAGTGTTTGAATTATTATGTGGATAATATCAACAGGAAAAATACCATTTGAAGGAAAATCATATGATCCAGAGCTAGCAATAGCTATTTTCAATGGATATCATCCAAAATTTCATAAAGGAACACCTCAATGTTATGTAATGTTATGTTGAATTGATGAAAAAATGTTGGTGCAATAATCCATCTGAACGTCCAAGTGCCAAAACTATTTATTATAAATCAAAGAGATGGGTAAAAGATTTAACTTATAATAAAACAACAGAATATGAACTTATGTTTAAAGGCAGATCAAGAAATGCAGAATATAGATTCTGAATCATTACATAATGAAAATACTTATTCTGAAGCACATCTTATAAGTCAACCTTTAAAGAAACATAGTTTAGCAATTCATGAATCAATTTCAAAATATGATATAAATAAATATATAGGTAAAATCAATTTAGATTTAGATAATTAATCAATCAATTTTGAATAAGATTCTATTAGTAATATTTATATATTACATAATTATATTTTTTTGTATATTTACAGAGTTTATACATATACGAACTATATATGATATAGAATCTGAGACATGTTGCCTTATAGTGTATATTATTGCATGTTTACAAAACTAATAAATATATATATTGTATTGTATCTTTTTTTTAATTACAATTTTTTAACTGAAATAAATTCATGTATAGGCTCATGAGCCTAAAAGTGGACTAGTAAACTTGAGAGCCTTAATATTTTAATAAATAATGATGTTCATGCCAAACAGAAATAACTTGACAAATATCAATGCTTAAGAGAGGAGAGCTTTCAAATGATCTTGGACAATATCAATGCTTAAGAGAGGAGAGCTTTCAAATGGTCTTGGAACTATTTTAATAAAAACCATTTCCCGTTGCATCAAATTTACCTTAAGTAAAAAAGTATAAGTTTGCAAGCTTGCAATTTTGAACTGAACTTTGCAAGTGAGATAAGTTCACAAGCCTGAAATTAAGGCCCACAAGCCTTAGGGCCTGTGAACACAACCTGGATGGGAGAAAGATATTTGAATGTAATGGATGTGGAGTTGGGATTTTTCTCCTGGCTTTTCTTAACGGGTGTTTGTCATTAACCAAGGTAACTACGTTAATTAATAATGAAATAATAATTAATTAATAATAAAAAAATAATTAATAGATAATTACCACGACAATAAGTATTTAGATCATTTGAATGATTTATAAATCTAAATTTATTTCCTGTTCGAGTAGCATCAACTACAAAACCTGTAAATAAATGACATAAAAAATTAAGAATATCAAGTAAATATACAGTATTAAGTAATATACAGTATAAAAAAAATACGATATTATGTAATATAAAATATCAAAATAATAAATATTCTACTTCTCCATTATATTCGCCTAAAAATTCAATTTTCTTTATATGTTCTCTAACAAATGATCTCCAACCCACTACAGATGAAATTCCTAAAGCAATATTACAATAATTATTAAATCAATAGATTCTCGAAATAATGCAATTTCAATATTATCTCAATAATCATCGGGAATATGAATTTGTAATAATGATGAATAATGATTACTTTTTAGACATAGAGTTCCTTTGGACGTGGTCGTTTTTATTAGTTGAT